AAACCTGTTTAAGTACATGAGCGAGCAAGATTTTTTTCATGTATTGCTTTAAAGTAGTGTAAACCAGCAGTGTTTCATTTTGGCAAAAGCAGTGCAGAACTATAGGATTTGGGTGTAGAACATATTAAGCTAACTGCAGTGTCCCAGCTCTAGATGTCACTGTAGACATTGCTTTGAAAGAAAGTAGACAAAATGACCACTTTCTGAATTACCTGAATAGATGAAAGTAAATTAATTATAGAAGGGTTTGGATTGGAAGGGGCGTTAAAGATCACCTAGTTTCAACCTGCCTGCCGTGGGAAGGGACACCTCCCTCTAGACTGGGTTGCTCAAATCCCCATGCAAGCTGGCCTTGAACACTTCCAGGAATGGGAATCCACAACTTTCTTGGGCAACCTGTGCCAGTGCCTCACCTCTCTCATGGTGCAGAAATTCTTAATTATACCTAATCTAAATCTATCCTCTGTCAGTCTAAAGCCATTCCCCCTTGTCCTATCACTACATGCCCTTGTAAAAAGTCCCTCTTCAGCTTTCTTTTAAGCCTTCCTTAGGAACTGGAAGGCTGCTCTTCTTCAGGCTTAACAAGCCCAACTCTCTCAGCCTGTCTTCATAGAAGAGGTGCTCCAGCCCTCTGATCATCTTTGTGGCCCTCTTTTGGCCTTGCTCCAATAGGTCCATGTCTGTCTTATGCTGGGAGCTCAGAACTGAATGCAGTACTGCAGTTGAGGTCTCGTCAGAATGGAGTAGAGGGGCAGTATCACCTCCCTTGACCTGCTGGTCACACTCATTTTGATGCAGCCCAGCATACGGTTGGCTTTCTGGGCTGCAAGCACACACTCGTGGCTCACGTTGAGCTTCTCATCAACCTGTTAACACAGATCTGTAATGCTGATATTGTCATACTACTTTTTTTTTACCCTCTTAAGCTTTCTGTGAATATTATTTTGAACTGCAAAATGTTTTAGCATTATCTGACATGCAAGAAAATTTGCGTCTTACAGTCTCTTCAAGAATTAGGTGTCTTTTAGCCACTTTTGTGCTCCCTTAGCTCTTGACTAATTAGGAGATTTAAACAGGAATATTTAAATTTGCTGAATTCTGGTGCCAGAAACTTCAGCTGAATTCTGTGGCAAAATCTAGCAAAGCTTCTGGAGCCCTATGACTGAAGCCTGTGATAAACTCCTGTATGCCCCAGGTTCACTTCTGATGACAGAATCAAAACATGAAAGCTTTCACAAGGTAGCCTGTACTTGTCTTAATTTCTTTCACTGCTCTGAGAAACCAGATGCTTCTTGGGCCTCTCTATATCATTTGATCCCCTTCAGCGTTGCTTAAAGGCTGTATAATTGTTGACTGTTGCACCTTTGCTTTACCTTTGGTTAACGTAATCTTTTGTTCATTCAATAATGCAGCAAAGTGGAAGACTAAGACAGCTGTGCATCAGAAATGTAAATGTCAAGAACTTTTTCCCTTACCACAATATTTATTCCTATTCTGCCATCCTAGTAATATAGGACACAGCCATTCCTTTTATTCTTTCAGAACCTGTCAGAAATATGCAGAAGATGGCTACCAAAAGTAGCAACATTGAAGTGGGACCTTTTCCAATATAAAATGTTATTACACAGTAGTTTGTACACAGAATTATCTTTATGTGAGAGAACAGGAAAAAAAAAAGTAAGTGGGAGTAATATGTGTCTGAAATGAGATGCTTGTCTTTTTCCATAAAATCCTTGCTAGAGTTTTGAGTACCAGTTGTCACTGAAGTCACTTTCTCTTGAGCTGTCAGCAATAGACAGAAATTAAAGTGTTTCATTAATATGGTCACTAAAAACTGATGAGTGGGAGAGAACCTTTGAAACAGGAGAAAGAATTAGGAGAAAAATTGCTTATATCTTTATTCTAAATTTCCACTTTGCTATATATTCTGTCCTGCAAAATAGTGTTTTCTCTCATGTCACCTTCAGGAATAAGAAAATAACAAATTGTGTTACATCTGCATTAAAGTGTTTTTTCTCTTAAAATAAATACAGCTGAAAGTAGTTACTTTATATATGACAACATATTTATTACAGGCAATTATACATTCCTCAAGATTTATTGGAACTGAAAACAGGTAACCAAAATGTGCTCTATACCTGCAATCTCTTCAAGAAGGATAAATAATGGTAGTATGCCTTTGCTACTCTTAACTGAAGGATACCACTGGTCATTGAACTTCCTTAAGTTCTGGGCTATAGCATTATTCTAATAATTATGATTTTAAAAGCTGAAAGTGGTGGGTTTGTTATAAATAGATGAACTTGAATATTTCTGTTCCTTATGGCAGATAATGTGGTGTAGAGTACCTGAAGTATCACTGTACATTTAGGATAATCACTTTTGGTCAGCAATCAGTATTTTAAGTTGCTGTATTCTCAGCATGTGAGAAAAGTTGCTTTGTCTTGTTTTGATAGTTCCACTGAGTTACCTGTTAGTAAGACTGACACTGATCTTGGTAGAAGACTTCTGTGCTAGTTACTTAGAGCAGAATGTGATTCAGCTCAAGAAATAGACTGTTTAAGCATTGTATAACTCATAAAGCAGGACAGTGTTCTATAAAAAGTGTGTTTCTTCAGTGTTTATTGCAGATTTTTTCACCTGTTCATTTTTGCAGTAACTTCAACCAGATGTGGTTTTTTTCATCAGTAAAATATTGAGAGGTTTTACAGTCAATCTGCAGTTAGCCTATATTGGGATGCTTATGTAGTATTTTATATAGTCGCAGAACTCCTCTTAGGAAAATACATTTTAATGTAACAGATACAAGAGTGATTTAATCACAGTTGCAGGGGTTTTATCCTTAGTTCGGTCCAAATGCTCCAACTGCGTTCTATGATATCCATATAAGTTGGGTGCTTCTATATGTTTCTGTGATCAGTAAGATGATTGGTGTGCAACTAGAGTCAGGGCAAGCTTGTTGGCTAACTGTAGACATCCAAAATCTGTATTACAGGTTTATCTCAGTAGATATGAACATTGTTTCCAACATGTGATCATCTAAATAGATAAAACTGCTGGGGGGAAAATGTACAGATTCTTTTTCCAGAGAGTAGGACTGAGTGTTACACACTGTGCTGTGTGGCATTCACAAATCTCAGTTGGTCCAGGTGATCTGAGACCTGATTTGTGGATAGATTTGCATGTTAATTTATGCACTATACAGAACTTTCATATGAATTCTGACAGCACAGTCAGTTACCACTTCTGTCATTCATTGCCTAAACTACTTGCAGTTAGGCACTTCAGATTTTGCCAGTAGAGTTCAATATTATTCTGCTTTTAGGTGTATCTAGAAACTGAGTAGGGCTTGTACATGTGTGTTTGTGTGTGTTTATGTAAGTGTTTATATAACTATATAAAAAATAACCAGAATATAAGCTGTTGTTTAAGACCAATCTTTGAATATACAAACCAAGAAATTTGTTGCATTTTTCTTTCATTCTACTCTTTTCACTTTGATATGGAACCTATTTTATGCTCTCTGAGAACAGTCAGTAACCACTGGTGCTTTTTCTGTATTTTCTAGAAGCTATCATTGAGATCCAACAGCAACTGCTGCGTGAGGATTTCGTAACAAATTAAATTGTTAAAATGTTATTAAGGCTGTGAAACCAATAGCAGAGGTAGAATTAAGGTGTCCTAACTGGCCATGTTTTTCTGAGGGGCACTTCCTCATTCAGTCTAGACCCTGAAGCTCCCCACCTCTGTTTTTTCCGTTAAGTCACACGGTAAACACCAGGTGGGTATCCATCCTGTGAAACAGGGAATCTCTAAATTCTGTTATGGGTAACATTGTATTAAATGAAGGACTACATTCCTGTGATTTTCTGTCTTTTTCATTTGCAACTTTATTTAACTTCTGCAAAATACAAAGCAGCTGTCAGATGATATGAAGTCCTGGGGTCCCCCCATAGAGAAGAACTCATATTTTGTGTTTCCTGACACTTGGGTGGTTTAATGTACGTGTCATGGAACTCAGTAGTGGGGATAGGAAGACAGAATTGCTCATTGCTATTTTGAAGTTTTGGGTGAGTGGTAGGATTTCTCAGAATATCTAATATTTCATAACACTTTTCCATTCGGTGAACTCTTGATCTCAGTTGCAAAGATTGTACAAGGGAAAAGACCATTATGTATTCTTAAATATCTTCTACAGAAATGATTCTAAGTAACTGAAATCTCCACTTAAGTCATCATAACATTCTAACTTCTACAGTTAGAACCCAACCGCAAAATCTCCTATTTTGCACTGCTCTCATACTGTTAATAATCATTAAATGTTTATCATTGAATATATTTTGGATACCTGTAAAGAATAAGCATTTATGCCTTCCTAATTAAACTGTAGAATTGACCTCACAAGATTAAACTAGGATTATTGAAATTCCCCATTAAAAAAAAAAAAAAAGGAATCAACCTTCTATCTAAATACCCATGAACAAAAAATACGTGTTAATCTTGAATGTATTTCGTAGCTTTCTGTCCCTGCTTCTTTAGGCCTGTAATATGTGATTCAGTAATTGCAGAGAAAACATCTGCGTTTTGTTCACCCTTTTTTTGTAAAGGAAACCTGTGTCCAAATCCTGGGACTCTTTTATTGATAATGAAAAAGCACTGGGTCAGCAACTTCAGCCTAGTTTCTGCCTTCCACTGTCCATAAGTCAAACATAAAATGTCTTTTGCATTGTCTTTTTTGCATGGATAAAGGTGTTTACACAGTTCACTGTATAAATTACTTGGATATACACATGGGATTTATTATGGCTAATGTTGACATAGCAAGCAAAATAATTCGGAAAAAATACGTGTAATATGTTGTAATTTTATTTAAATATTTACCATTTCATACCAAAGTCTGGTTATAGGTAGTTAAAATGAGTTTACTGCTACTTATATGCTAATGAAACCTTTCCGTATTCCCTCACATTTCGAGAGTCTCTTCAGTGAAAACACCAGTTTTACATTTGTGGTGTGGCTTTTGTAAACAGGCCATAGAGACTTTTCTTAAACGTTTTATCTAACAGAAGGGTTATAACTGGATCTAAACTACTCTTAGCAGCAGCAAGACAAGTAAGGAAATTCTTAATTTCCACTAAATAGTTTAACCTTGGGCAGTCATTATTTGTAAGCAGTACATAAAAAATTGGCCTAAAAATGTGATACGGAAGAAAGCAGACAGTTAGTATCATCTGGATGACAAAAATGTTTCTTTTCACTGTACTGTAAATTAGATGTTTTTCTCCAATACATGTATTTTTCTGTATTTTATTCAGATGTCTGGTAAGAGAATAGTATGACAACACCACTGTCATAAAAGATACAAAAAACCATGATGTGGCAAGAAAAGCTGCAATCATTGCAGCGAATTCACCAGCTTCTACCCTGATGTTGTAGCATCTGTGAAATTCTTCCTTAGTCCTTGCCTGGACATTATGTATTATAGCTATTACTGTTATGCAGAGCACAATAAGCCATATAATGATGCACAAATATTTAGCAAATTTGGGCTGACGAAACTTTGCGAGTACACATCTGTAGAAGTTTTCATTAACTGCTTGAGAGTATTGTACGTCACTGTTTTTCTTCAGTGTTGCATACTGACTTAGAGCAATTGAACATAAAATTATAATCGTAACATACATACTGACGTGCATAATAAGAGTCCCAAGGTGATTTGCTATTCTGCATGCTACACAGTCATAAGTCCATTGGTATCCTCTTGCAAAATAGGCAGCCAGAAATGGCATTGTGCTACATATAAGTAAATTTGCAGTGATGAGGTTTGCCAGGTAAATGTATTGTGTTCTTTTTGTGTGTGCTTGCCTTGAAAATATCCAAGCAGCAAGAATATTTCCAAAACTTCCAGCAGGAAATAGGCAAGAGTAGATGACTGGTAGAGCTACAGTAGTAGCTAGTGATGGCTGAAGAAGACATGTTGAATTTCTCATTTATGCTGTTTTTTCTTGAATGGATGATCAGAGCTGAAACAGAATTAAAAGAATTAGTCTTCTGTAATGTGCATCTAACATCTCTTTTATTCATTTCCCTTATTTTAACTGTTCTTCCTCCCAAAAGCCCCCCCCCCCCCCCCCGCTTTTCGGTGTTATTAACCACTGTTTGTCCTCTGGGGCTACCATCTTGAGTTTGCATAAGGTTACTTTTTCGGTGTTCTCTTCCACTGGGATTTTGTGAAGAAAAGCTGGCTGATGTTAAACCCCATAGATTTGACATGCATAGGATCTAACAAAACAAATTAGGAAACAGAAGCTTCAAGATAGGCTGTAATAATAACTTGTGTGTTCTTAGTTTATTTCTCTTATGAAACATCTTATGAAACATCTGTAACCTACTTTGGAAGCCACTTCTAGGCTATTTTAAGTTAAATAGGCAAAATAAGTGCAAAGAATTACTTTAACTGCCAAAATGCAGAGGAGTATCCAGTATCTCCACTTAAGTACAAATTAAACTGTGCATGATGCAGGAATCTGGCTAGATGCATCTATTTTTTGCTGATGTCTGTATCTAATGTTACTTTATTCAGAGCTCTAATCTTGCACATGCATTTTGCATAAATAATTCAGTTTGTATTTTTGAACGTACAGAATGGTTGTTGAAAACGGCAATATATTTATTTTTTCCACCTTCAGTTTTCCATCTTTTCCTAGTTTCCAACTAAAAATAAGATATCAAAGCTCTATACAATGACTACACATAAAAACTGGCATTTCATCTTACTGGCCTGTACTGAAGAAAGGTTTTATTGTCATACAGATACTATTTCAGTGAAGTGCATCATAGTTAGCTTTTGTTCCATACAAACTCATATTGAGAAAATTAAAATATTTCAGACTTAGACTGATAAGGTTTTTTTTAAAATAGCTGTAACCAAATGAACTTGGATATCAGAGAGAATTCTGTGTAGTGCTACAGTGAAAAGCCCAGGCACAAGGTTGATAAGATAGAGCAAAGTTGTAAAAGTCATATTTAAAAATTATGCTGTAGACCATGTGTAACAACTTACAAATCAACTTTTATAGCTGTTGCATTTTAGTGTACACAAAGTCTCGTATGGATTGTTGAACCAAGTACAGTAAATTCTTTCATTACAATTGAGTTAAATTCTTTTTTTTTGTATTTTTTTAATTAAGTTATTTAAAAGTCTAATAATCATTTTTGTATCAATGCCCAAATTTGTCAGGTGAAACAAAGAAGTAGTAGTTTTAAGCTTACCTACACAAGCTGCAGGCGCCTTCCTTTGCAGAGAGGAAATTTTTCTGTCTTACTTCTATTTTATCTCCACTGTTGCACTGAAAAGGATGATACTTGAATCTGGAAAGTATAGTTAGACCAGTTTTCAGAATGTGCACTTTTCTTTTACAGGGTCAAAAAACAGATAGGCATTTAAAGTTCAGTCAAGATGATGTTAATCTGTGCAAAAAAAGGACTTTGAAATTAGGTCAGGATGCAGCTCCATTAGAGAAATTAAAAGAATGAGATAGTGTGGAAGAGGGATTGTAACAGTCCTTTGGTCATGTAGGTATGGCGCAGAAACACCTTACAGTCCTTTATATGGTTCTTTTTTGGGGGGTGGAGGAATTGTTACTTTTGTTCTCTTTAGGACTGCCCACTTTCTAGAAGTTGGGGGAGGGAAACGGGAGAGAGTTGCTATTTTATGCATGAAAATTTGTTATTTTCACTTGTTACGTTTAACTGTTCTTCAGCTCAAAGAGCTACCGCAAAGCTGGCTTCTGTTCCTGAAGCCCACATGTAACAGTGCTGTAACCACGTCTGTCTTCATGTGGGTGACCAAATGACCACATCTCAGTTGTCTAGTCTGGTGATGTATTGTATAGAAATAATTTACAGCTGATGCATTCTGAGCATCAGTTGGGAAAAACTGACTCTCTTTCCAGAAATGTTATTTTATGTAAATGACTCAGAAGTGTACACAGGACAATTACTTTCCTCCCCAGGGAAGGTATAATCACAGGTCAGTCAAATTCTGTCTGGTTCTGCAGAGCTTGAGACCTTTGAATCTCCTTCTGATACATCTGTGATTGTCAGATATGGCTTTTCTACAGCTAAAAAGAAGTTCCTTTATGAGAACAGAGGCGATACCACATAAAAACTTCTGCAATTTTGATAAGGTTCTTGGTTTGTTAGTTTTGCTTTACGTTTAAACATACACTGTAGGAATTCCCTTCAGTGATCTACTATGAATTTTATCGTTCAGTCTCATTATTAATTTTATTATTTTGTACTAAAATGATTCACAGGTGTGCTAGCCTCCTATTTAGACTGCATAGTTGATCTTAAGATTAAATTTAAGTGAGAAAACTTGCTGTGGAGTATTATCAATTGGTTTGTAGTGCTGTAGTTAATTTGCATGTGCTTCAGTTCTTGTTCCTGTTAAATTTAGTTTTACCTTGTTTTCATTTTTCCACTTTTGAATGTATAATTATATTAGAATTTGTTCTAATGGCAAGAGTCTTGTATTAATTAAATATTTATAGTCTCTTAAGTAGTCTTAGAAGTCCTTGTTATTGTGGTGTTCCATCCAGGTTTAGACATGCATATCCTGAACATTTGCTAAGAGAAGGCATGTTGAACAATAGTGTGAGCAATTGCATTTAACAGGGTTTTTTTCATTATTATTATTATTCTGTTAGTTATTAACTGTAGCCTGTAGTATTTATAATTCAGTGACCATAACTCTTGCTGTAGAAAGAGATGCTACGTTTTTCACTGAATCATCCTATTATAATAGGTTATTATAGTGAATTACAGTCTATCACATTTCATTTTGTAACTGATTAGTGAGATGAGTAAAAAAGGAATGGGATATTATAACTGGTTTTTTTTTTTAAAAAAAAACAAACACCAAACACAAAACTTCAGAAATATTGGTTCTAAGCTATAGTGATCACCTTCATTATTCTTTTGGTGAACTATTGCCTTTCACCTAAGTTATAAATGGCATATTTTATGTAAAATATATTTGGTGATATTCAAATGGTACGAGTGCATCTTTCATACAATTCACTCTTAAGTTCATCGTAATGACTTTCACATGCATTCTTCTTCTCAATTGTTTATATTTTCTGTACTCTACTGGTCACTTTCTGAGTTAAACATGTTACTAGATTTTATATGCCAGTAGGCAGCATATGTTGCATTTTGCCAGTGTATGAAGGCAACTTATTCTGTGGCCTGAAACCACAAAACCAGGGACATTCTGAGGGGTGAAAGGTATTTAAGCTAGCCTTCTATAACCTGTACTTAGCATGTATTGTAATATAATCATATATGACAGAGCAGTCCACTTGCAGGCTGCCTGACCACTTCCTGTTCCTTCTGCCTGCTTGAGATGATAGAACATAGCTCAAGCAATCCCTTATCTCCTTATGCCTGTTACAAACCAAGTGAAGAACAGGACTGTTCCTGTTGTGCAACAGAGTATGTAATCTGTTGGCACCAGTTGCTTCTTATAGAATGGAAGAAGGCAGCAGCTTGGTTACCTATGGCTCCCTTAGCAGACCTGGTTCTCTGTGCTGTGGAAGACCCAAGAAATGCACTCAGTCTCTGTATCTCGAAGGATGGAAGGCAACTGCTGCGGGTAGGGCACATAAAAGTGTGCGACCCCGGGCATGGCTACTCTATGGACACTGAGGATGAATCATACTGAGCAAAGGTATAGCATTGGTATAGCATTCACCAAACATGCAGCAGCCTTTAATTTGAGATTTAATTTCATATACTTGGAATTTGAACTACTGTATGGCATTTAATACTAAGAGAAGTCTTTAAGATGCACTGGCTACTACACAAGTGCAATCCATATTTTATTTAAAAAAAAATAATAATTTTACCAAGTAGCTTGCCTAGAGCTTTGGTGCTTAGTTTTGTTGTGGATTTAAACATTACAATTGGAAGGTTTTTTTCACTGCATAAATTCTAAGGCAGATGTACCACAAAATAACCGTTTTCAGTTGGCCTTCTCTATGGGGAGAGTTATTGCAGAGTGCCATGGCTCTTCTCTGCCTGCTCATCAGCTTTCCATGTAGCCGTGACCCAGTGTGTAGGCAGCTCTTCTGACTTGATATAACAAGGATTTTAGCTCTAGTCACTATGTGTCGCATATTGTAAGAAGTAATTATCAAAGCAAAATCATCTAACATCATGTTTAAATCTACTCTTGTTGACTCTATGCTGAATCAGTGAAGATAAAATGTTCAACCAGTTTGAGCTGACTCTGTGCTTGCTGTTCACTAATGATTTATTTTCACCAGTTTAGATTCAGCAAACTAGTCCCAGAATGAAAGTTCTTAATGTTATTTGATGAATTACAAGCATATGCAGTGTAACTGTGACATCCTTAGGGATGTAGGAATGGGGATATATTATAATCATAGCTTCAGTTCTTTGGTTGTCATAAAATATGCAAAGTTAAGTGTTTCACAGGCTCTGGGTAGTTGTTTTACATGGGGAAAACACAAACCAAACAATGTCTTTTAGGCAGGAAAATTTAACTTCAAGTTGACAGTACTAACAAAAATAATCTTCCAACATATTCATTCTTGTATTTTTTCCCCAGTGACTTTCTTTTTACAGCCCCCAGAGGTCTCTGGTATTTCCTTCTAAAAAAGCAGTGGCTGTGAATTGGTCATGGTATATTTCACTTTTAATTTCAGAAATAGGTTTTTAATGTAAAAACTCCGTTGATCATCATAGCCAAATAGGAAGCTTTCTCTGTTTTTCAGCACCATTCTATCATTTGTGTTTTTCCAAGTTAAATATGTTTGTGTGTAACAGCTTTTTGGCTTTTCCAGGTTCTTAAGCCTTTGTGAAAATGCAAAAGTAATAAAGCAAAACTAAAAAGCTAAAATGTGGCAGTAAAAGCAACTTGCCGTGCGAGGATTTTTCCTACTGATTCACTCTACAGGCAGTGAATGGCAACAGCTTTGTAGCACCTTCTCCTTTCTCTTGGATTTGACAGTTGAGATTTTGCTTAAGGGATGGAAAAAAGGGTGGCAGAGGGTTCCCAGCGCTACAGAGATTACGTTGAAAATATATTTTGATTGGTAAAGCATTATCAGTGGGTTCTTTTTCTCCATACGCTTCTTTTGTATTGTGCAGCACAACTCCCTTCTCTCCACCCTGATTCTGTATGTGGTTTCAGAGAGAACATTAAATTAAAGCATCCATATGGGAGCTTTCTATCTCCAGGTCTAATATGACTCTCACTTGTTTATCACTGATGTAAGTTGCACTCCTCTTTTGTGGTTTCATTAACTGATGTTGTGAGGGAAATTGTTCAACTACATTTTCTTACGTTATCAAAAAAAAAAACCAAACAAAAACAAAAGCTGTTTTGCCCCCATGAAAAATGTTAATCTTCAGGTTAAAGCCATAATTACAGTTAATTTCAGTGTGAAAATAAAAGGTGGTGTTGTGGTTTAACCCTGGTAGGCAGGTAAGCCCTTCAGCCACTCACTCAGTCCCCCTCAGTGGGAGGAGAATCAGAAGGGTAAAAGTGTGAAAACCTGTTTATCATTTCTGTCTCTCCCCTTCCTGTTCTTGTGGCTGCTCTGCTGCAGAACAGGCTGCTGCTTCTGATGCTCTCTCCAGCTCCCTTGTACGTACTGTGGTCAAATCTGTCGTTATCGTGAGCCCTTTGAGCCCCATGTTAGGTGCAAAATGGGTTGTTGTAGTTTAATCCCAGCCGGCAGCAAAGCCTCACACAGCTGCTTGTTTACTCCCATAACAGTGGGCTGGGGAGAGAGTTGGTAATGTAAAAGTAAGAAAATTCATAGTTTGAGATAGAGTTTAATAAACTGGGGGAGAGAGGGAAGATGTTTCCTACATGACAGTGCTGTCTGGTTTCAGATCCCTTTCTAAGCCAGTTGATATATATGACTTTTAATGTCTTGAAGCAGTGATTTACATAGCTGTGGAAATTCATCAGTATTTTCACTCGTCTGGTTGCTTTTTAAGATCGTTTTTTTGTTCTAACTGCTACTCCATTAATGTTATACTCTGATAAAGATAGTACAGTCATACCAGTTCCCCTCTTCTGTGCCATACCTGCTGTTACACAATTGTGTTCCCTTTCAGATTTTCATTTCTGGGGTGAAGAGTTGATTTATTTAATGTAATCTGTATAGAATTTGTGTCATATAAATTACTATCACAATTATGACTTCTCAGGTTTTTCCTCCTAATTTTGACAGTCTCTTTGCTCTTTCATTGCTGTTGAGGAGAGTTATATCTTGAAATTTTTTTAGGCTTGACCACCCTGAATAACTGTGTGTTGTTTGAAAACTTTGTCATCTCCTTACTCTCACTCATTCCAGATCATAGTATTAAATGTGTTCGTAAACATATCTATTTGCAGGTTCTCTGGGAATATAATGAAGAAAAATGACTATGTATTTCTAAGCTTTCTTTCCAATTTTTAACCATTTCTAAAACAAGAATTAACATCTAACATCTTAGCGTTTTTTAGAGCCTTCATTAAACGACTTTGCTGAAGTTCAGTTACACCATATCACCTTTACCTCAGTGTTTCTCAGCTTTTCCACAGAGCTACTCTGTTACTGATTTTTCTAGGATGTGGCTTCCCTCAAACAAATCTACTTGCTTTTGCCTAGGGTACCTTATACATAGAAGCTTGCCTAATTTTATTTGTCTTTATAGGTGCTATGAATTTGCCTAATACAAGCTCCTAGCTCCTGAAATGTCTTTGTAAAATTTGGGTCATATTTGCTGCTTATACACAGAGGCTGATTTAAGCAAAAGATGATTCTCTATTGAAGTGTTTAGTGTATATCATTATTGTGTAGTCCTGGGAAAGTGTAACTTTTCAATATTTCTTCTAAAACCTTGGTTTTTTTTTCTGAAACCTTGTCCATTGAGACTGTGTATAGCTTCCTTGGTGCTCCTTCTCTACAATCTGTAGAGAACAGCTGTCATGCAGAACACATCTGATCAATACAAATAAGAACACGCTAACTAGATTACACTGTTAAAATCATTAAAAATAAAACAGCCCACATAATACTATTCAGATGATGGACCAGAATCTTGAACTTGTACTGCATGACTATTTTCCTGTTGTCCTTTTATGTATTTAGTTGCTTCCAAAATAATATTATAGTAACCGAGTAAGCATTACATATTTTACAAAAGTATGCCCAGAATACTAAGGTCTTCTTTTTTGTCCTGTGGAACATATTCCTATTTGCCTTTGGCTCTAAAAGTCTCATTTGTTTCATTGAAGCCCTGTACTGTTGATCTTCTGAAGAGCTCTTAGTCTATTTTTGCAACCATGTAGTGTTCAGGAATTGCATTTTTTATAAATGAAAGCTCTGGTTTTAACAGAACACTTCCTTCAAAAGAATTTTAGAATTCAAATTTTGTTCAAGCTTCACTGAGATGTTTGTGTCCATCCTCTCCCATGTTCCCACCCTGGTGATAAGTGTCATTAATCAACTACTTATAGTAGAAAAAATACAGGCAAGGAAAGAATGACAAGATAATGTATATATCTTGTGAAATGATGGTTTATAACCTCCACTAGATTTCCCAGAGTTGATGTAACTCTGTAGAACTACTATACTGCATAGCAGAATTGCAAAGGATGAGGAACATGCGCTTTACAATCACAGAGCCAAAACAGTTCTTCAGCATACACAAAAAAAGATGATATGATGATAAAGATCATGAAAAAAATACAATGCAATTATTGTGAGAATCAATTAGAAATCATCGTACAAATATTTTACTTGCCAAAAAAAAAACAGTTACCATTGTACTTATATAAAAAGTACATGCTCATAGGCATCTCTCTCTTGAACATTAAGAAATCCTACCCTTTTTTTGTTTAAAAAAACAACAAAAAAAACCCACTGGCTGGTCATTGTAATTCGTTTCACATGTTTATACCCAATTTCACCAAAACTGAATGAAGTAAAATCACATAAAAATTAAGCCAAGTTTATATAGCAGAAGCGTTACGTTTACTTTGCTCAGTGTGAGTTTTATGAGTAACTTTTGTAAAACCAGAATATTGTACAGAATTAGTAAAAATCCACAAATTTTGTCAGAGGTTTGGCATAAAAAGTGACATGATCCGTCAGAGAAGTTACTGGTAGTAATATTAAAACTGACTTCTTTACATCAGCTTACTTGAGCAACACTGCTTGTATGTGTTCAGGATAATAAATCCTTATTTTATGGAGCTTAACACTTAGTGTTTAATTGGTTCACCTTTCTAGCCTTTAAGTTGTTCTTGGGATAAAATGCTTGCTATTTAATAAAATTAAGTGTATCTTCTGTAATTATAACTGAATTAATGTCAGTTATATTCTTCCTCATTTTCAAACCATATGTGTTACTGAGCTGTCAAATATTTTCTTGGAAAAAATACTTCTATAAATGTAGTTAAAACGCTGATGTATTTGAAACCTATTAAAACAGAGAAGTACATAAAATCTGTAATGATTTATATAGCTCTTTTGAATAGGACACATTATTTTTTACAAAATTCATTATTTACATACAGAAGTTTGTTATATTAATGTCTATATACAAGATTCCTTATACGTGTTCAATCCACTTCATGGAAATTTCCTTAAAGAGTTAGTGTTCTAGTTTAGTCCAACAGAAGATGTCTGAGAACTTCCTATTTTGTTTTCTTGGATAAACAAGAGTGAAGTACTTCTGAAAAGCAACTTCTTATTTTCACAAACAGAAGTAAGACTTCTCTTTTATTTTACCAGGAAGAAAGAGGCAGGATTAGTAGCTGTACAGTATAGCATTTGGTAATCTTAAATTGATGTGATGATGAATTGATACAAATCCTGAAGCAACAGAGAAAAGTTATTATCCATTCCTTTAAACAATCAAATCAGAGATTTCTTCTTTAAAGAACTTGAGTGGGGAGTGGTAGTAGAAAATCGCTCTTGTGTATATTGTCCAAGTTTTATTTCTGAAGTACTTTCCAGTGCTAGGCCTGAATCTCCATGAAGTCTTCTGCAGATAAGTTGGAATACAGTCTTACGGACACTTCTGGACATTAGGAAATACATAACTGGGTCTAAGCAGCTGTTAAAAGATGAGAATATGAGCATCACCTCGTTGCATTTGTGAATGATTTCCTTCCAATGACAAGATGGATTTTGTAACTGTGATGTAATGTAGACAAACCGGAATATGTGGTAAGGAACAAAACAGATGGTGAAAATAATGAGCACAATGAAGGAGTTCCTTGCTGTCTGGGTGTATTTTCCAGCATTGGGAAAATTTGCTCTTTTCCTCGAAATTTTCAGGAGGTTCTTAGCAATTTTAACGTACGAAAGTATCAAAAGGAAAAAAACTATCCAAAAAATGATTACAATAACATAATTTAAAATTGCTTCTGTCTTTGCATTGTGTTTATTTCGGTAATGAAAGCACATGGTAGAATTGCTGTTCTCACTCTTAAAGAAAGATGGTGCAACTACTATTGTAAATCCTGTTAGTGCGATTGCCCACACTGTACAACAGATATGTATACTTCGTCTAGTAGTTAGCATTTTAGGGCGCTTCACAGACTTATTTATTTTTACATAACGATCTAGACTGATTAGTCCCAACAGTACTATGCTAATGTACATGTTCATATAAAATAGAGTTCCTACAATCTTGCATAAAATCAGTCCAAACAGCCAAGTGTTTTTGGTAACATGGTAGAGTATTCGGAAGGGAAGACAGAAGATCAGCAGAAGGTCTGCAATGGCTACATTTAGCAAGTAAACTTGGATAGAATTCCTTTTCTGATGAATGCACAGGAAAGAAAACAGGGCTATAATATTTCCAACCAGTCCAACGACAAAAATAATAGAGTAAAAAACTATCAAAGCAAGTGACAGTGAGTTGTCATCTAAGGAACAAGTGGCATTGTTTTGAATTTCTGAGGCATTTATGGCCAGGTTAGGTAGGTTACTCCAAAAGTCCTCCTTGTATGGAATAATGGTCAGTAAATCAGCTGAAGCTGCACCCATCATTTGTGAGGATTTTTTTAGCTGTTCTGTAGGAGTGCAAAGAGAAATTGTAAGAATTAATCACCACTGGATCATTTTCATGTGTTTGTTTGCTTTATTGCATACAGTCTTATGTGATATAAACATTAAAGGAAATTGCCAAAACAAGTAAATGCACCGAAGTATCATTGTAGCTGAGTAGAAGGACTTTCAGATAGGTATCACGATACAGTGTAAGTCTAGAATAACCAGTTCCCTGTTTTAGTTCACAAAAAGTACACAAGAACAGATGGTATAGAATACTCATATCTTTATAACTGTTATTGTTTTCAAAATCAACTATTATGGTTTTCTGCAAACTTTATACTTTTTTGTTTGTTTGTTTTTTCTGTAAGTACAAATAATTTTAAGTTTAGATGTTAGGATTTGTCTTTCTAACACAGAAAACTTTTTAATTAAGATGCAAGAATGGGTAAGCATAACTAAGTGAAGTATTCTCAGTGTTGATACAAAGTACTTAGAAATATATCAAAACAATTCTAAACTCATCAGTATTAATTTTAAATAAGTGCCCAGGATCTCTCCCATACAAGTCACCAGTTTTCAATTAGAAAAGCAATTGTAAATTAATATTTTTTCAGCTATGTAATCTGTTAGAAGTAACACTATGAGCTTGTTTTCAATACTTTATATCTTCATGTAAATTTTAGTATTTTTTCCTTACCTGTTCACAAATGAATATTATGCAAAGAAACTAATATTAGCTGGAAGTCACATTAATGCAGTAACACTGTTTTCACATTTTCCTTGTTTTTCGTTGTTTCCTTTCTTTTAATTTCAAAGTTTTCGTTGTTTCCTTTGTTTTAATTTCAAAGTTTTAAATTTCACTAAGCTTACTTTTGACCAGGAAGGTACAATGTAGAAGTTAAAATCAGTTTTGACCAAAGAAGGAAAAGCAAAAAAGTGTGTGGTTAAGACAGCAGGATCAGAACTAGCTGTTTAGAGAGATGGTTGACTGATTAGTAATGATACTTTGTCCTCAGTTTGTATTTCATAGTGATAAAAGGTTTCATAAATAAGTTTGCTTTGAATTTTTTCGTTTTTAAGTAGCAAGCTTTTTTCTTCTAATCCCACAAAAACTATAGAATTGGTGTTAAAATAGCTTTTCATTTGCATGCTATGTCTAAAAAATGCTAATTTACATTTAAATGTGTGACATGGCTCCAGCAGTGAAAATGGCAGCACTTTAGATAAAAATCTCAGTAAGAATTAATGCACATACAGAATCTGCATGATTGAGAGGACAGACTAAAATATTTTAAATGTGCTATGTAGGTTGACCTCACAAATGTATTAAATTTGTACAATATGCTAGCAGTTTAAAAAATATTCCTGTTTTCATATTGTCCAGGCAAGATGTAATTTTGAAAGTTTCATTAAAAAAATGTGATGCTTTCAAATACATCTTGAAACCTATCTACTGCTAGAATTTCTTGTTATGATCCTTTTCTGTAAAAATGATTGATATCGTAACTTGCAAAGTATTGAGAAGTTTTAGGTCAATGAGAGTGAAAAATCTATTACATTGCACATGCATTAGAAATATAACTTTTCACTATCATAAGTTTTGTCACCTGGAAGCAAACAGGCATGCTTAACCCTAGGTGTATTTAAGAAAAAGTTTGAAGGTCAATAGTACTTTTGCAGTTAAATGACATTTTAATAGAAATCTGGTTTAATATGGGTAAAGTATAAAAGAAGACACTTACCATTTATATATTAAGAACTTCTGCTGATTTTCAAAACCCCTAGTGAAGACAGGGAGGAGTAACATGCAAGTCCTCTTATTAGAAAGCTAAATCACCAGCTTCTCTATGAAAGTGATAAGAATCAGCTGACATAGTACAATTAGCAACAAGGGGAAGTTTAACTAGTGTTGCAACTGGGTTTTTTTTAAATGTGTTTTAACTAGCAAAACTCAGTTTATTGAAAAGATCAGTTTTGCTGTTAATTTGGGGTTTGCTGGGAGACATTCTATAATAAAATTTCTCTTGAGTTGGAGATTTGGATTTTTTTATTTTATTTTTTTCTCAGAAACTTTGTTTCTGGTGAGCAGTGTCAGTGGCTTCCTTTTTGGGTGACAGTTATGTTGGTGCATTCTCTCATCTTTTTAATATTGTCATGGAAGTTGATTAAAGATAAATCACCACAGTAAAATGGTACATTTTGCTTATATTGGTGTAGTTGTTCCATCTACCTTCTTGCCTGGGGTTAGAAGTTTGAGGTTGATCTTTTTTCCACTCAGAATGGCAGTGATGAGAGATTGTGAAAGTGCCCTAAGTGGTGTGGCTTAAGAATTTCAACAAGGCAGAAGGGGGATACAGTGTGCTGAGATAATACCATCTGGTAATATTATTTTAAATAGGGTGAAAGGCATTGAAAGTTACATTTATAAATTGCAAATTTAGAAATGGATTCTAGAAATCCTGATATATGGTAGCCTAAATTTAATGATCATCTCAAGAACATTGTCTTGACTTAGTATTCTCCCTTAGTATTTGAAATGATAATTTCCATGTTAATTTTATTACTATATCATCTGTTTAGGAATGAAGCTTTTATGGGATTCTGCACATTTCAGTTATACTTGTAAACAGGCTCTATACCTTCTTACTTGAAGGTGATTGCCTTGTATAACTGAAGCTTTTTAGAGGAAAACAGGTGAAAGCAGATAATGATTTTAAGTAGTCAGATTGAGCTTGTTGTAGCTCTTTTGCACTATTTTGAGGTGCAAGGTTTGTAATTTAAGCAGTAATGTATTCTCAAGAAGCAGTATACACATTTGACATTCTCCCTTTTAAATAATGATTGACTGCAAAATGAGGCAGGAAGTCATTCTGTAACAAACGCAGTAGTTTCGCTATGTGTATTATATATTAAACTGTGTTCGAACTATATGTTGCTTCATCCTACAGCACTCAGTATCCATCCAAGTTGCTGTGTAATATTATTCCATTTTTATATGTTACACCTCACTAGCGGAAAGACAGTGGAAAATCAAAGATGGCTGTGCCTGGAATCAGTTTAGAAGCCTAAACAATTCCCCTTCCCAACCCCCCCCACTCGACCCCTTAAAAGCTTAAGGATGAAAAGTAAAAAGAAATTACAAGTGTTAATTTTTACCTCCATTTTATTATGATTTCACTTCGTGTTCCTTGTGAATCCTGGTAAGTCCTGAAAGAATATTGCTGTGCCTGGGACAATTGAAAGGCAAGCCAGTGAAGAAAGATGAGACCATGCCAGGGGAAAAAGTTACCGGAAATTAAGAAATACTGAAATAAATAAATAAATAAAAACTAGCTTCTGTCTGCAAATTTATGAAATCAAGTTCTAAAATGCCAATTTTAGATAATTTTTCTGGGTTTTTGTCTTTTCAGCCACACTGTGTACTGCTTGCCTCAAAAGAGAATTCAGCCCCAGTGAAGCTTGGTGGCTTCGGGGTAGCAATTCAGTTAGGAGAGTCCGGGCTAGTTGCTGGAGGTAAGAAGTTTTCCTTTGAAGTTACATTATGCATGTTTTATTGCAGAGTTCTGTTATTCTCACACAGACTGGCCTGCAAAACAAGAACTCAAAAATAATCTTTCACTAAAGACTTGCTAACATTAGAAATGCACACAGTTAAGCTAAATTGCGTGTAATGTCTAACGTAGTGCATACATATACTGACTATTAAATCCCTCTAAATGTTACTCAGTAGGAGCTTACACTGATTTGATCAAAGCAGAATTGAAAAGAACAAAGAATTTTCCACCTTAATACGATCTTTGGCGTAATTCTTCCATGCTTGACAAAACAATCAAATAAAAATGCTATCAGGACTGAAATGTATGTGAAGGCAATTAAGGATTTACTAAAGCATTGTCAACGCTCCCCAATGTTTCTTAGGCAATTTCTGTCAGAACACTATGCTGTTGAATAGCAAAATCTTACTAGTTTTCACGTGACTCTTTTCTATGTTTTAATATTTCATTGTAATTATTGCATAAAACATCAATATCTTGATGCATATGTATATTTTTTGACTGTGTTTTGTTTTCTGTGGATTTTATTTCCTCTAGCTGCCTTCCATATTGTTCCAGACAATAGGGTTATGCTTTTGTCAGCCTACAGAGATGAAGACCCAATCAATTTTCTGGTGCTTTCATTGCCAGAGTAGGAGACCAGAGCAAAAGATTTTGTTAGTTTTATTATTTTTTCTTCAAAACAAGTAACCTCCTCTCAGTACCATGTTTCTTCAGAAACTCAGATTTCTCAATCTATTTACTTAAAGGTCTGCATCAACTTGGCTTTTCTATGCTTTTTAAATTAAAAAGCAAATCCACCATAAGCATGACAACAGCTTCCATTCCCTTCCTGATGTTACTAATACCCTTGAAATATCCAAGTATCTTATTAACTGAGACCTAGATACATCTTTTCAAAGAGAATACCCATTCAGTTAAGCTACTGTTTCCTTAATGGAAAGGTCACTCCCTTCTTTACTTTTCCTGTGTTTCTCAAATTTTCAGTACCTCAGCCACTGCTTTTTTTCATGAGAGTTCCTACACTTATTTATGATTCTCCCACTTTTCTTCTTCATATTCTCACTGAGCAACCTTATCCATTTCTTCTGTTTGAGCTGCTCTTCTGAAGATAGTTAGAGATAGTGTACTTTCTTTCAGACTACTAACTGTCTCTTAAGAAACCTCAAGTTCAACTTGAAAAAAAATCCTGCGCTTTTCCCCAGATTTCTCATATCCTTCCTTTTCTGTTACTGTTCACTGTTCCGTGATCCACACATCGTTCATGTGCTCAACCTCCATGCAGTTGTCAGTGCTGGTCTAGTCTTTCCTTTTTTTTGTGAAAATGTTTTCATTCCTTCTGTTCTGTTTACAGTACTTCTAGAAGCTTCTTTCTTAAGCATCATCATTATAATAATTCTCTGTATCTTTTGCCTCATCCATCTCAACTTCTGCCATATCAGTCTACCTTCATTCCTTTTTTTTTTTTTTAACTCTTTCTCAACTGTCACTTCCAATTTGCAGCCCTTTTTCTAGTACTTGCTACTTTCAGTTTCAGGTTCCTCTCGCATTCAGGGATACACAGAGTAATTCCACTTCATTTATATACCATGGAAGGTCACAATGCTACTACTTGTTTCAAGATTTCTCCTTAACTGACTCCATATCTCTTTCTGCCCATCTTCCATTTAAATCCTTATACAACAAACTACATCAGTTATCTGGCAATTCTTTTCCCTTCCCTACCTGAAGCATAGTCCCGTCTACAGCACTTCTATGATTCACTTGCAAGATTTTATTTCTTCAGCTTTACAGTGTCACTCCATAGGTGTTATGTGAAAGTTAACAATGCTGTCTGTTTGAACTGGGCTATAAATTCTTTGTAAAAAAATGTTTACATATTTTTTTAAGTTATCTATGTGCCCTATGGTTAAGTTTTGTTTGGCAATGCTGATAATAACAATAAATTACAGGCAGTACCTATTTTTCAGTTGTCTCCTAAATTAAATAGAAGCTCTCTGTATAGATAGGTTTGAGCAGTATAAAACCCAATCCATTCACTTTCGCATGCTTTTCCTAATTTTTAGTAAAGAACATTAATTCACCTTAACATAGTCAATTATTTCCCTTTCAGCATGGCAATTCCTGTATTTGGTGTTTAGCACATCAAAAAAGGAAAATCTCTATTAGATAAAACCTATTACGGCACTAAGATTCTTTTACTGGCCTAAAAGCCCCTGTGCTTCTAAGTCATTTCAGTGCTAAGTACACCTTAAAATTTTTATAACACTGAAAACACACTGCCTTATACTTACAGAAAGTGGAATACTTATTAATCTTTCTGTATCTAGGTAATGTGTATTACTGCAGTACCCTAGCAGAATAGACTAATTACTAGTGTAAATCGCTATGTAAATGACCCTGATGTTGAAGAGCAGAAACCTTTTATCTTTCTTTATGTTGCTTGGAGTAATTTCTTATTTAAACCAAAAAAGAACAGCTTTCCTTTAGAAAAAGCACGTCAACACTGAAAGTAATGTAACTGTAGTAAAGTTCAACTGACAGGACTCTTCCCTTATCTAAACCCCCAGCCATTATGCAAAAGCTCTTCAATATCTGTGATGATAACTCTCTCTTTTCCTCCTAAAATAGGAGTTGCTATATCTAAAATATTCAGGGGTTACCAGTGTTCTAGAAACGTTTTCTTGCTTTCATGTGTTTGTGCCATTTTGCTTTCCTTTTTACACTGGTATAGCTGTGCTTGGTAAACACAGATAGTGTGTAGCCCCAGGACAACACAAATAAAAGGGAATTTTCTCCCTCAATGTCTTCAAAGCCTACCTTCTAGGGTCCAGCTTTTGCCTTCTTTGGGACTACAGAACTTTTTTAACTTAAAAGACTTCTTATTTTTCCAGTGTATGTAAACTGATTTTTGTGAGAAAGGGTATTTTTGTAATTAAGTTTAAGCCTCGGGAATTGAAAGTACACCAGTCCCAATTTTTTGATGTAAGTCAAAGATAGACTTGTTTTGTTTAGAAGGATTATAACTGCAGTAGTCTTTTGAGCAGATAGAGGATTATTTGAGAGACATGTAAGGGAGCTTATGGTAGCAAGCTCTGATGTCATACCTGATGTCATTAAATGTCTGTGGAGTAGATTTTAGGAATATGACTGTGTTTTATCAGCTACCAACCCAGTCGAGTTCAAGATAATTTAATTATTATTAAGTACCAGAAAAGGGGACATAGCCATAACTAATTTTTTGTAAGATCAAAATGGAAAATGTAAGGGAATACTTCCAGTTCCACTGTGTTTGTCCATAAGCTGCAAT